TAGATTTGGACCCACTATGATAACGGGTTTTTGGCTTCAGATGTCGTACCGCTCTTTTTAGTTGGTTCTTTGGCTGAGTAAAAAAATCGACTGAAACACAAACAACAAATCAGTCGAATGATGATTAGTCACTTCCATATCAAATAACTTGTAATCTAGAATGGAGAGAGAGTAGTATTTACTAAATTATGCATACCACCCTGGATCAAAACCTTATTTCCTCCTCCGACCCATCTGTTTTCCTAGCAAAGGCTATGACATATTGTGTACTATTTGTTGAATATTGAATTAAATTATTAAAATTCCTTTTGCGAAGAAAAAGGAATACAAAAGCTCAGATTTGGCCTTCGGTACTCCATCCGATCCAAGGATCGGAGTACTGGACCCACTGGCACTTCTTTTTCCATCACTGCTTGTGGCAACGCAGTAACATTATATACACCGCGTTACCGGAGTAGTGTGGTACTAGGATCGCGGTATCGCTACTTCGCTAGCGACTGTGGCGGAGTGATACTGTGTCTCACCAGCGTCTTATATGGGTCATATATTCATGGGGTGTGGACCGGTTCATGGGCCGTGTTTTTTCATATGGTGGGCCAAATTGAAGCAACAAGTCCACAAAGTATCAGTATACAACCTTTCCCTAAAAAAAAATCAGTATACAACCCGACACTATGGATACACGTTTTCACTACAGTTCAAGTTCTAGCGTTGTTGGTAGGGGTGCAAGCAACTCTATCAAGTGAAAGCAGCTTGCATCAGCTCCCTTGAAACCAGAGACTCAAGAGGTAGCTAGCAAACTGCAGAGAGTTTTCGTTCACATGACATGATAGTCTTTTTGATACAGATACCGGTAGTTACACGGGCGTGCACTGCAGTGACATCGCAACTAGGGACGCAGCGCAGAGGCTGGGCGCGGACCGATACATACGTAATCTGGTTTCCGCAGCAAATTGAGGCGAGGCGGGCGGCAGCATCAGCGGGTCATCCCACGGTGCATCTGCGGCGGCATGGTGGCGGCGGTGCGCCCCTGCCTCTCCATGTTCGCATGCCACCCTGCACGCGCAGAAACAACGGCGGCGCGCAGCATCTGTTAGCAGTGCAGTGACGTGCTGTGCTGGACGACCACAAATTAATAGCTAGGGAATGAACTGCAAGAACTGAACGAACGGATGCTTGGTGATGCTCGTACCTATGTTCATGTCGAATCCTCGCTTCTTGAGCTCGCGGTACTCCTGGCAGAGCGCGCAGCACTGGCAGCACCAGTGGACGCAGCAGTCGGCGCAGGGGCTCTCCTGGAGGCCGTACTGCGCGCGCATCTTGGCGCGGTAGAAGCAGGAGTAGACGCACTGGCAGCCGGTGAGCAGCATGATGAGCGTGTACAGCGCCCCGCTGGTGCCGCACGACGTGGAACCCCGGTCTATGATCTCCGCGATCTGCCCGAACGTGATGCACGGGCACAGGCACGTCACGCAGCCTGCATGCAATCCATCGTTAATTCCGATTATATACCAGCAAGGAATGATCAACCGCTCCGTGCGTGCATCGATCGATCCTCTTCTCACTCACAGTTGCTGCAGTCGTCGAAGCAGTCGCAGAGCCCGGTGGACCAGGCGGCGACGGGCGCGGCCTGCGCCTGCACTGCGAAGGCCGCCGTCGCGCCGCCCGCCTGGTAGTAGCCGCCGCTGATGGGGATGCCCGTGGCCAGCGGCTGGGCAGCACCCTCGTCTGCCTTCGGGTACATGGTGGATCGGAGGCGTGCGCCGCACTGTCCGCCGACGAACGAGGCCGGAAACGAAACCAGATCACACCGGGGGCGGAGAGCGTTCGACTTTTTGCCTTGTGCGCGTCCGCCGGCCGGTCTACCCTGTTAGGCCGCAGCGCGTATTTATCTCGGCGGGGGCGATGGTAACCGCAGTGTGCAGTGCGGTGTGCCCAAAGGGTGCCGTGCCGGTGCAGAACAAGTGGGTCGCGTCGCTTCCCTATGTACCAAGGCGGATTACACACCAATGCCCGGGTGCCCGTTCGGTGCGGGACAACTGCGGGCGTTCGCCACGAGACGCTTTTTGGCGGCTGGTGGGGCGAGTGGCCGTGGGGACGTCCGTCGGAACGTAGGTTTGGGACGCACGAGTCTACATCAGGGCGTGATTACTTGAACGTGATCATGGCCCCGGGGCCGGCCGGCGCAAGCGGGTCAAGTCGTCGACGCGGCAAAGTAGACCTGATTTGACGCGGCCGGCCACACCCAGACCAACGGTAGGCGTGCTCCACACCACCTCCACTCGCGAGGCTCATGTGGCCTGCCGCACCGCCATGGAATGATCTCGTTGTTTTTCTGCCGTGGTTTTAACGTTAAGTGTGCCTGATCTGGATAAGACCCAAAGTCTGCCTAGAGATCGTCGTTCAGTAGCGTAACATGCGTCCGTGGAAAGGAGACTTTTCCCTGCCCACATCAACGACCGTACCAAAAAAATATTGTACGCGCGTAGAAATGGCACGGATTGCTATCCACAAAGACTTGGCAGGTCCACGGATAGATAGATACTGATCCAATGGTGGTACTTGTTGGAATTGCCAGGCGTGTTGTATGCTTACGCTCCCATCAAATTTGATGGGGATGGCCTTCCTTTCCTTTTCAGAAGACATGTTGTCTATTCCCCCCACCAATGAGATAAGGTGCCCAATCGCATTATTCTAAATGCTAGTGGACACGATAACAATCATGGAAAGACGCCTACCGAGTTCTTGCAGATGATGGTATATGATAACATCGGCAATCAGCAACAGTGTGCAGTGTGCGCCGCCCACAACGCGAGCCAGTGGGTTACTACTTCTAAGTTTGTGAAAGTCGGTCCTCGATCTTGCGTGGGTACGTCGTTCTGGTCCCTGAACTTATAAAGTGTGTTATTCATGTCCTTAAAACTCTGTTGGGTCTCATATTCATCAAACGGGTGTAGGCCTACTTGTCAGCTCTATCTGCCGCCGGGATCGGGACGTCGTCGTCTGGACGAACAAGCGCGCGCTGCTTGAGGCCGTCGTGGAGGCGCTCCCTCCCACCGACGACCTGCCCCTACAAAGCACCATGGGGACCTACTGGGCGTCACGCTCGACATCAGCGGGCAGCGCGTCAGGAACGCCGACACGGTCCGCTGCATTCGTCGAGCGGCAGCAGCAGGCGGTGCAGCTCGTTGAGATACGCGTTCGTCAGGTGCTCCGACACGAGATGCATTCGTCCAGCAGCAGCAGCCGACGCGAGATGCGCATGACATGACGAGAAAGAGAATCTCCAGCAGTCCAGCTTGGGGCAGTATGCGAGCAGGGATACGGACTCCAATTCTTGGTTGCGGACGATGCTGTGGAAGAGTCCAAGCTCGCACATGGCGCCATAGTCAGCTCGTCGGCGCGCTGCTCTTCGTCCCGTGCGACTGCGGCAGCGGCGGCTCACCTACGCGTCGGCGGCAGCGGCTGCTTCGGCCGCGCGGTCGTGGGGGCTGCTCGCGCGCGCGCGTGCCTGTGCGCGGCGGCGACGGCTACCCCGCGCCCCTGTGCGGCAGCAGCGGCGACAGCTCGCCCGCCCCCCTGTGCGGCAGCGGCAGTGGTGGCGACGCGCCCGCGCGGCCAAGCAACAGCGGCTGCGACGGCTTGCCCGCGCGCCTGCGCGGCCGCGGCGAGTGCTCGCTCGCGTGCCTGCGTGGCGCCAGCGGCAGCTCGCCCGCGCGCATACACGGCCACGGCGATGGCCCGCCGCGCCTTCCCAGCAGGCAGCGGCGGTGACGCGCCCACGTGCCCAGGCAGCGGTAGCACCACGACGGGACGAGGAAGAAGACAACTTTTTTCCAAAAGGGCCCTCAAAAGTTTATAAATATTTATGTAATTTTTGTGTCCGGACGATTTTATATAGAAATTCCCGCTAATCTTCTGTTCAAGCAATCAAGTCTTTTCTCTGTACGTGGGCAGAGATCCATACCCGTTTAGATTAATATGAGACCTGAGCAAGATTTAAGGACAGAAATGACACACTTTCTAAATTTAGGGATCAGTTTAGGGACCAGGGTAACGCAGATAACGCACCCGTACAAGTACCAGGACGGGACATGCACTCTGCTCTTTCTGAAACTGAAACATGGTTTTCAGTAGCCTGCGTGTATGTGTACCTGCACACCGAACTTCACCATCAGAGCGCCAGTGAAATACTCGTATTCACAACATGAAACTGCTACCACTTCTCTCTTCCTTCCTGACATAAGTGTGCTAACATTTAGGATTTTTTATTTTTTAATCCACCCAAATCCAGCTTTTTACAATCTAGCTTGTAATCAAACACCCTAGACTATTGGCCCTTTTCCTTTACGATCCACCAAACCCAGATTGTGAAATTCGAGTGAACTTTTACACAATTTGGGGTGGGTCGAGACAGGGCCTTAGAATTGTCCATTCCTATATTCAGACCGGTAATGCTAACCTTAAGTAAACGTGAGCAAACGTAATACATCAGTCAGACCACCTAGTATATGAGCATTAAGCAGCACTGTTCTGTACAACCGGCCAAGTAGCAACCAAGTTGCTGTTCCTCTCCAAGTCTCCATAGATTATCATACTGTAGGGCTAAGAATACACAAGAAAGACAAAAACCTATCACATTGCCGCACTAACCCGCACAAATGTTGAAACCGCACCCACTCTGCATCACAAATCTCGAAATGGATTTAACAGTATCTACCTTACCACAAAAGCCTACACAGATAAAAAATGATGCCGCAGTAACACAAAAGCATGAGCATTGAACACATTACGGCTTCATTGGGATTTGAAAACATTTTGCTGTTCTTGAAGGCGTCCAAGATTGCTGGGGCACTTCAGTTCTCTAAACGTCAATGGCTTGGAATATCTTCCTTGATCTATATATTTCAATGGCAGGGAGATCCAAATCTTCTTCTGGAAATGCCTGCCTACGTATCAATGGATTCACAGAAATAAGCAATATCTGGCATGCAATTCATTCAAATAATGGACGAATGTGGCAAATGATCAAGCCGCCCATTCAGTATTTGACGGGCTCGCGCACTTCGGTACTGCAGTCGCTGGTGTAGTGCTTCTGATATTTGTTCGAAAAATTCAGGATCCCATCTCTGAATCAAAAGGGGATCCTCAGCATAGCATATGTATATTGATGTAACAGCACTTTCCACAACCACAACAGTTAGTCCAACCTGCAAAATTGACCAGATGTCAATCTTGACAGAACCAGCGGAGATTGTACTGTATGAAGGAAACTTGGACACGGTTTTCCTTTTCTTAGTTACTACAGTCACGCAAATTCATATAGAGATATTGGCACTTACCAGTATCATACCCATCAGCATGGAGGTTGAACCAACCATAACAGCTTTATCACTTTGTTTGAAATATGTCCAAACGCCCATGCAGGTTCCAGTAATTAATCCACCTAAAATGGTGCTCATCAGAAGGATAGCACCCGAACAGTCATAAGCAACAAGTGATTCGATGCCGGTGGATTGAAACAGCTCCCAAGCATCCCTAGCTGAGCGATTGAAACTCTGTCCATTAACTGCTATCTGAAAATGAAAAACTATTTTTAGGACATTGATTGGATAAGCATGATATCAGTAGTTAATATTCCATAGCATGAATAGAGATAAATTGTTACAATAATAAGTTCTCACATTTAAATAAAAGCAGTGATTGGGTCACAAATCACACGCATTTGTGTAAAAATATCCAGGCAAGCAAAGGTACTTTGATTGACAGAAACTAAACCTTATAGCTTAAAACAATAAGAAAAATACTGTCAGTGTGGAGAAACAAATGATAAACAGAAAACAGCAGGAATATGTAGACTTTTAACATAGGCATGGTCTACATCTTGAAAACTACTGACGAGATAAACATCACTCACCTGTACATATGCATATTTGTTGAAGAAGCGAACAAGCGTCTCCACAATATGAAACAAAAAATCAATACAACATAGCAAACACTCATTACTGCCAATTTTAGAACGAATTCCACGAATCTGTAAGGGGTGAGGTAAAAAAGAAAAAAAAAGGATGAGAACTATAAAAGGAACCTAAACGACAGAGTACAAAAAGAGGGAGTAAAGATGCAAACCTCCCATCGTAAAGTCCTAATAGCAGCGGTAAAAAGTGAGCCATAGCAAATGCTTCCAAACGAAGTTGTCACAGCATACTGAAGAGATTTCAGAAGAGGCTTTGGGGGCATTGTTGAAGCAGCTGGACCACCATGAATGAGAACGAGGAAAACCATCCCTGAGACAATGACATGAACTGTATTGCTAAGGACAGCTCCAGTCCAAAATAAACTGACTGAAAAAATCTGCAAATACAGGAGATATTATTAAAAAAACATCTGAATAATAAAGGCACTAAATATTTATATAGAAGTATGGTAAAAACTTGCCAGCTCACCAAAAGAAGCCACCATTGCCCACCATTTGGAATGCCAAATGCAACAATACCAGAAACTCCAAAGGACCATAATGCCATCCAACAAAGCATGACTACCACAAATGCATAAGCAATTCGCATCACATCAGGAAGTTCCCGTACCATTCTCACTGCCTTCTGTAGTACTAGCATTGTGAAGGGAAACCTAGCAAAAAGCAACCCAGTAATTTCCAAGCAAAACAACGAAGTATGCAATGCTCAAACAAAGGTACTGTTTCTAGGTACTTTAGCATGTAACTTGAGTTCTAAAGTTCCAGAATAAACAGCCTGAGGCTCCAACATTTTATGAATCGACGAGGCACAATTATTGGATTATTGCAGTGTGCCTTTGACAACATTCAGCAAAATATAGTGGCCAGGCAAGTGTGAAAACAGAGTAAACACTGTTCCAAGATATACATACACGATTTGTCAGGAGTACTGGAAGAGAACATTTATTGACAGACGTGGTGGGTGGGAGGTTTCCGCCATGGTCCTCAACAACCAGGGGCTGTGGCATGGTTCAATCTAATGGTGAAAGAGGAAAGGTGGACAAAATTTCTTGACCCTTTCTTGTCTCTAAAGCAAATACTGGCACCTTATATATAGGTGGACATAACAGACACCGCCAAGGCTACGAAGAAATGATTCAAGATAGAATGGACACGAAATGAAGGAGAATAGGCAGTGGAATTATTCATTTCTTTTTAAAGCAAATCAGGTCATAAGGTTTCAGGACTAGATATTATGGCTCTCCCACCGTTCCATATAACATTATTTTTTTCAAAAGTAGTCTACCAGACAGCACATGGAATATGCCCCTACTGATTACATTTTACTGATAGGCCACATGATCAGACTGATTATGGCATATAATGGTAACTATTGCTGAGTGGCGAAACAGATACGAGCTACCAGTAGTCCAGATTTAGAACATTATTTGTCAAATTCTACCAATTACATGTGTATCACTAACTGTCCAGTCGTCTGCCATTAAAATGCAGCTGATAGTGCCCCGTGAGCACCAGTAATCTGAACCAGAATACAAAGAACATAACAATTTTTAGCTTAAAGTGCACTCATCACTTCCCACTTTCAAATACCTGGTTGATTGATCTCAAATATGTGATCATAATATGTAAAGGGGCATAAATCTATGCTAACATACGTGATCCTTTGCCCCCACACAAATTAAGCAGACCAAAAAGCCATATCAATCAAGGAAGCATAGAAGATTGGCTTTATGGCACACTTGTGCAGCCATGCAGCATGTGCAGACAACTGTCGGAAAGGACCTTGATAGAGACATGAATCAACCACCTAGCAGGATCTTCATGCAGTTATAGTGAGATGGTGCAGATTCAGTCAACAGGGTAAGGCATTGCGAGTGGATATTCTTCAAATTTGCATGTTATTTGCAGAAACTCGCTCTCCTACTCGGTGTCAGGCATCAGACCCACATTCACTAGAGTCCAAATTCGTCTGAAATGAGATGGAATAGGCTATTTACAGACAAATTCAGAACATAGTGTTGTTGTGAGCTGTACCTATCGAGCACAGACATGACGCAGAGGAAGTGCAGGCCGGCGCCGACGGCCAGGGCGACGCCCCAGAAGAAGTGCTTCCCCCAGAAGCACAGAACGCTGACGACGGCGAGGTAGGCCGTGAGGCAGTGCACGGCGGTCCGCATGACCACCTTGCCGCCGTCCTTCCTCCAGGCCGCCGCCGCCAGCCACGCCCACGAGAGCGCGGCCCCGACGGCGCCCGCGGCGCCGTAGTACTTCCAGTACGTCTCGGTGAGCTCGGACGCCGGCACGGAGGGGTCCTCGGAGCGGTAGACGGAGGGCGGCGGCGGCGCGGCGGGCGCGGGCTCCGGCGAGCCGGCGGGGGTGGCGGTGCCCCAGGGCTCCGCGGTGAGGTTGGCGTAGCGGCCGATGTTGAAGCGGTCGGCCTGGCGGAAGCGGTTGAGGCCGAAGAGCGCGAGCGCGGCGCCGAAGACGAGCAGGTGGAGGAGGAAGACCACCAGCCAGAACACGTCCCGGCACTGCCGCCTCGGCCACTGCGCCGCGGGGCCCGCCACAGCCGCCGCCGCCGAGACGGCCCCCGCCGCCGCGGCGGGGATAGGGTTCCCGCTCCCGTCGCAGGAGGAGGAGGTGGAGGAAGAGGAAGAGGACATGGCTGCGATCGGCGGCGATTGGGGAGGGGCCCGGCCGGTATGAGGAATGGGGATTAGCAGAGACACGTCCTGGAACAGTTAGCGACAACGCGGAGAGTGGTGGTAACTGGCTAACTGCTCGGCGCTGGTGGTGGTGCTGTTGGTGGTGGTGGGACTAGGGGGGTAACCGTTTCGGTCATCGGGGAGACGATGACCTGCTCGAGCGAACTGACGGGGGTGACTGACGGCGACGTCGCGCGGAATTCCAGGGGGCAAGGGGAAGCCGGAAGCGGACGCGGTTCGGCAAGTCCGCGAGGGGAGCGAGGTTTGCTGTGGTGTGGGGGTTTGGACTTTTGGAGCGAGGTGGGTTTTCGTGCTGGGGCGGAGCGCGACCGGCGTCCGCCGGTCCGGCTGGGGGGGGCCTGGGACGGCGGGGGCACTTGGACGCGAGGATAGCTGCTTGGATAGGACGGAAATGTCGAGCGGCTGCTTCGAAGTTGGCGATTTGCTGCGCTGGATCCAGCGTTCCACTTCCAACGGCAACGCAAATGTTTCCGGAGTTGAAATGATGATGATGGGCGTTTCCTGCCGGTTCACCTGCACGCTGCGCTAAACGGCTGTAGCACACGAGATGTCCGTGTGAATGTGTGATTATTGCGCTCCAGCTTCGTGACATCTCCTTTCACCCACCTTCAATCAAATCGCACGACTTCCGCACATCCTCGAAAATAGATGGTACTGTCTGTTCAAGATAGTTGACTGTGTGTGTGTGTGGAGTGGAACTAATAAAAATCGTCTTCCTCCTTGAAACTAACGGCGTGTTCGCTGGTTGGTTTCTGGGCTGGTTTGGGCTGATTGGTGCTGATTTGTTGTGAGAGAAAAACACTGTTGGCTGGTTGAATAAGCCTGGCTGAAACCAACAAGCGAACAGGGTGTAAGTGACAATGTCTGAAGTTGAAATATTAACGAGGGAGCCAAGAAATGATTTTAGACTGAGGATCTGTTTGGTACTTATGAGATTAAAATTTAGTTCCAATTAGCTACGGTTAGCTAGCTATTGGACTAATAACTAATTGAAGACCTAACTAAAAAAGTTAGTCCCTTGTTTGAATGCACTAGAGCTAATTAAGACTTTTTTTTTTGCTAGATAGACCCTTCTATCCATTAGTAAACCAACCTCAGTGAAAAGTTCCATTAGAACTGGCAAACTATGTTGCATAGTTTAGGGGCTTAGATTTATTACGAGGAAAACATGTTTATCTGGATTTAAATTCTTGACTTGACGTAGGTGTTTGTATTTTTCTAGATTTATTTCAGAATTTAATGTTATATTCCGATGGTATGTGACGTACCTTTCGACAATAAAACATATGTGATGACTATGTCAACCTCGAGATTTGCAAGTTCAATCTTTCGTAGGTGCTTATATGAGTAATTTGTGTACGCACATTCATTCTTGTTGTGTTATTGGTGCGTATATAACCACATATGTACAGTGATATGCAAAAGAGATGTTCGTTGGTTTAAAAAATAAAAAAGGTTTTTCGTTTTTCCATAGCAATGAGCTAATGTCAAAAAATAACAGTCAAAATGGTTAAAAATATTATTTTGCAAAGCACGTTTTTGTGTTTGGTGTTTTATATATGCTCGTTTTCATTGCATTTGACTAGTATAAGACATATTACGATTTGGATATCATGCTTATGGATTTTCATCCAGATAAAGCTACTTTCTTTTGTCTCTTTTTATTAAGCTTCGACTCGTCTCTTGTCTCTCAACCGGTTCTTTGTCAAGACTCGAAGACCCGTAAGTCCCTGCTGCCTAATGATAGCCTTCAACAAGCGCCATTGTCACCGACCCTCGTCCTTCTTCTTGCGTTAGATTTCCTATAAAATCTTTTTTAACTAAAATCTAATATTACTGAGGAAGTAAAGAAGGCAAGCAATAAGATAGGAGCCGGGCCACGCTGGAGTCGAGAAGATATTGGGCTGTTATGGACCCCCGAGCTTATCTAATCGGGCCTCTCTGTTGGTCTACCATATGCGATCTCCATATAAAGCAGGGCCCTCTGGCTGGCTGATTCCTTGCCCGCCCACCCCCCCACTCGACACGACGCCGTTTTCTGTCTTGTCGGCTGTCGCGTTACTCGCCAGAATCATTGAACACAGAAGCAGGACGATTGTACTCTCTCCATAAAAAAATTAAATAAATCTCTATTTTGTTAGATTATAATACTCTTAGTGTCACGATGAGTCCGTTTGATACAGCTTTAACTCCGAGATCTATATCGGACTTGCAGTTTATGGACTAAATTAAAGTGATTTAAATATTCTTGTTTAATCTAAAATATAAACAAAACAAGTCAGCTCTAGATCTAGAATTTTGGTAACCAGGTCTAAGAGCAATTCCAACAGAGTTGATAAAAATAGATGGCTAAACTTATAATTTAACCAACCTCTAGAATAGAAACCTAACAAAAAAAAAATAGAAAACTCTAACAGACTTTCCATTAGGGTTAAGCGAATGGCTAGCCGCACATGCAAGCTATATCTAGGATTTATGATTTGCCATTTTGCATGATAATGAATTAATGACATAACGCTTAATAGACAATGTGAACTAAGATTTGAGATGGACGGTTGGAATCAGTCAAACAGGTTGATACTTAGGGGGTGTTTGTTACCCCTCATGAACTTTACTCTATGCCACATCGGATATTTAGACACTAATTTAAAGTATTAAACATAAACTAATTATAAAACTAATTGCACAGATAGAGACTAAGTTGCAAAACAAATCTATTAAGCCTAATTAATTCATGATTTGACAACATAGTGCTACAGTAAACATGTGCTAATGATATATTAATTAAACTTAATACATTAATCTCTATCTGTGCAATTAGTTTTAGAATTAGTTCATATTTAGTCATCGAATTAGCATCCGAATGTCTCGTGTGACAGGAACTAAACTTTCCCTGCATCAAACACCCCCTTAATATAACTTCATTCATGCATTGAATTTGATTATGTTGCGAAGGAAATTGGCTTCTTTCAGCGTTCAGGAGAACCTGAAGAATGTTTTTCGTGTTCCGGTGCTCGTCTTGTTGCTTTGAAATTTGTGTTAAAATTTTGGCCGCCCGTTGCGATGCACAGGGACACAAATCAAGTCAGTGTGAAAAAAAAATAGGGAAATTAAGCCAAAAAGCTCGGGGCCGGGGGAGAGGAGCTTCTCCGACCACGGACGCCTGACGCCTCTCATCTTCTCCATCCCCGCGCTGCTTCCCCGCCCGCTCCCGGATTGGCGCTGCCGCACTCCCGGATCTTCCACACCCAAATCGACTCCGCCACCGCCCGGATCCACGCGGCGCCGTCACGGATCGACGTGCTGCCGCCACAGATCGCGCGCCGTCGTCCGGATAGGCGCCGTTCGGGAAGGAAGAAGGAGGCTACGGAGTGGGCGCAAGCTAAGCTTCGGCTATCGACCTCCATGGAGATGGAGAACGCGCGGCCGCCGGATGCCGAGCTCTGGTGAGAGGGTATCGAGGAAAAGCTAGGTATGGCAAACACCATAGATTTTCGTCTAGGTACTTTCCCATGAAGAAGTGGCAAAAGGCATACAAGCTGCTAAAAAGTTGCTTAGCTCAAGCTTTGCGAAACAGACACCGATCGTTCCCAGTATAGATAATAAACTGCACTGCTTCACGCAGGCTCATCCGCTCCTCCTCGCAAGCAGTGGCTGACCCACGAGCAAGGCTACCCCGAATCGCCGGCCATGAAGTGCCGCTCCGATTCGTCAGGCAGCGGTGGCGACGACTCTCGGCCCCCGGCCCCCGCTGCCACGGGCGAGCCAAGTAAGAAGCAGCGGACGGAGGAGCCGTCCCCAAGCTCCATCGCGGCGGGCGAGTGCTCGTCTTGGTCCTCGCAGGCTCCACCGCCGCCGGTGTTGCCGCAGGACGCAAGAGTGGACGAGCCGGCGCCGCCGCCGCCGCCAGGTTCGGAGCCCGGAGGGGGCGAGCAGGTGAGGGTGCCGGATCTCGGGGAGGACCTGGTGTTCGAGGTGCTGATGCGAGCAGAGGCCCGGACGCTGGCGGCCGCGGCGTGCGTGAGCCGCGGGTGGCGCGTGCTGGCGCGGGACGAGCGGCTGTGGGAGGCGGCGTGCCTGCGGGATTGGGCCTACACGGGATTCTCCGAGCAGATGCTTCGCACCGTCGTGCTTTCGCTCGGCGGCTTCCGGCGCCTACACGAGATGTACATCCGTCCGGTCCAGCAGCGTGCTGCTGGAGCGCCGCCCGCCGGGCAGCAGCAGAGGCGCCAGTTGCCGGTGAGGATGGGCCGGGATCAGGTCCAAGTCTCACTGTCTCTGCTCTCGACCTCGTTCTTTCTGAAGATGCCTAATGCTCCTCCACCACCTCCTAAGGACAAGGATAAAGATACAGATAAGAATGGAGGTGGCCAATGTGGGTGATCACTGATCAAGTTTGTGAAAAATAGGAGCCTATCTCCCATGCAGCATCACCACAAGCTGCTTATGTAATGTCAGGTGATTAGATTGTGGTTCTTCACTGCATTTGTGGGAGTGAAGAAGGTGATAAAATCACTTGGATTGGTGGGCAGAGATGACTATTCATAGGGAGGCAAATAAGCTGAGTGAGATTAGATGGAATGGACTATGGAGTGCAAGTGTATTGGATGACTGCCAAGTCTGTGTGTTGTACCTAAATTACACACGATCAGCTAATGTGTAAAGTTTCCATGACATATATGTGAATATGTGATGTGCCAAGAGAGATGTATTCATGCATCATGCTCTTTGTGCTGTTGTGCCATGGCGTTTTTCAAATCCCCATGTGTCGCCTAAGGGAGTAAGGGTGAACTCCTTTTTGTTTTGTTTGAAATCCTTTTCATACCCATGGAAAGGAAAAGGACTTAGGGCCTGATCGGCAGGACTGAAAAATACTGTTCCAGCTGATTGTTGTGAGAGAAAAATACTGTTCTGGCAGGACGTGAACAGTGATTCTGCGAGAGGAAAAACAAGCCAGCCGGCTGGCTTTAAGCCAGCCGAACACGCCCTTAGCTGTTTAAGCTTACAATATCTTAATAAATGTGAGGAATAGCTGAGATGTTGACTTGTGTTACTGAAGTTCAGTTTAGTCCTATGTTTATTGTTTACTGCATGCTATTCTTAGGTCTGTTAAGCAAATCTGATGCAACTGATGTATACTGATTGATAATGTTTATTTGGAGAAAATGTGAATTTCTCAAATTGAAAATTCAAAATTTAATGAGGCCATCATGCATGTATGACACAGTTGTCTGTGGATTCATGTAATTCATTTCGGTTGGATTCTTCCGTCGCTTTGGTAGATTTATTTATTTATTTCTCACATTGTGCCTTCCAAATTTTGACCTTCTTTCTCAATGATTTATCCCTATTTAGTTAAATCTGAGATTTTTTAGGATAAAGTTTACAAATTGGTCCACCATTTTGGTCTGTAAATTAGCATTTAACTCACCAAAGTTTTCACTGGAAATTCCAGTTGATTCTGAGAAGTACGAAGAGATGATTGAGTTCTTGGAGAAGGTGGCTAAGACAGTTGATTCTGAGGAGCTCACTGGAGGAGCACTACCTTCTGTCAGTTGCTTACAAGAATGTCATTGGAACCCGATGTATTTCATGGTGCATCATATCCTCCATTGAGTAGAAGGAAGAAGGCCGTGGCAGTGTGGACTGTGTCCTTCATTTCACAGTCCTCATATTAAATTTTGTTGGCTAGGGCATTAACCTTTTTTATGTACAATTTATCATTCAACGTAATGCGTTGTTAATTCTTTTTTATGCTAAATCTTTCAGGATATTGCTCTCGAAGAGTTGGCCCCTGTAACAGAGCCGACCAATTTATAAGAGCACAAGTACAAAAGCAATCACCGGGGTGATCAAACAGTCATACTTGAACCCATATAAACCCGATAGTCCGATGAAACCACGTAGGATTTCAAACCAACTCGCATACAACCAAGATCGTACATGATTTAACATAACAAGTCACATGTTACATCCATTTCACAAGTAGTTCACAAGTATCTCACATACATCGGAGTTTGCATAGTTATTACAACACGAGTTCACCAATAGCGGAAGCAAAGTCGTTTGAAACCATCACACACACATAGTTCAAATACAAGCCAGTTCCATAGTCATATCCAACAAAAGCATCATGATAAGATAACATAGGAGATCATGCCCATGATCTAGTCTTCATCACCAGCAAGGTGGAGACAATACTTGCAGTAACCGTTATAAAGCATGTCATCTGCAACAAGATGGAATAAACCCTGAGTACGAGAATGTACTCAGCTAGACTTACCCGTCGTGAACCAAAAATAAATGACATCAAGAAATATGCAAGGCTTTATCGGTGAATCTCGCTTGACAACCATTTTGCATAAAAGCTTTAATGATACAAGAGTATAATTTAAATTTTGAGTTAAGCAGCAAGTTACCAATATTAAACCTGTCATCTAGATTAGCACATGTACTAAAGCAAGCACTTGATTAGGATCCACACATTAGTAACCATATCCGGTGTAACGTTGTAACATCATCATCATTTTTATAACCATCAAGTTCAATTAGGTGTCTCTATGTTGCCACTCCTCAGTCAATTTCTCACTATCCGGGAGAGACGACGACTCAAATCGATTCCTACCCAGCTGAGGAATTATTCCTAACACACACCCAAGCAACCTGATCAGGGTCGTCTCGGGTCACCTTTGGTACAACTCAGGAACTAAATTCGCGGGTCCGAGCAGCGCCGCACTCTCAGGGAGTCCACTCTGCCAGGACATCAATCTGTCTTTGGACTTACGCTAATGGCTCCCCCACATCCTTACTACCACCAGAGTGCGCACTTTCACTTCCCGGCTTTCGGCCTGAGTTGATCTACTCGGTTTCGCGACCGGAATGAGTTATCCGGCCAACTAAGTGATAGGCATGCGTTCAACATGACATGAGGACGTACAGTGAATCGGTCCTTAACCGACACAGACGGGGATAGATCCACACCCAAGACCTCCATGCCTTGTTGCTTCTCTATCGACATACCACCCGGTCTCCATTCATTATTAACACATGGTTATTTCCACGATAGCAAATATAGCCAACTGTGACCGGATATCATCCTATCTTGTAGGTGACAGAAAATCACCTGACTTTACCGGTCTAAGCATGGCTAAGCATTGATTTGCTCTTGGACCTAAATAGGATTCAGGGTACATTTACTGGACAAGGAATAGATAGATATGCAACAAGTGTTTGCATCCAACTCCTAGAACTTAATGCATCAAACATATAAAGATACTCAAAGTGACATTTTTAACATATAGGAGACTTAGAATGCTCCGGGGCTTGCCTTTCATAAAACAGGAAGGTTGGTGATCTGGGCACTCAAGCAGTTCTTCTTCGCTGACTCCTCCTTCTGGGGTCTGCACCTCCAGCTCCTGAACTTGCTGCTGCTCCTCCGGAAGTTCTTGTTCGAATTCCAGAAGAGTGGCTCCCTCCGGAACACCTATTGCATGCATATGCACATCATAAGAGTCATGAATGCAAAAGAGATGGAAGGTGATGATGAAATATACAACCATGTATAGATGGACACATGAATGACATGATAATACAAGATAAATATTTACTTTACTGAGTAGGTGCATATCTCTTCTTGAAAACGAGAACTACACACTCACCAAGCTCTAACAACCTAAGGTAAAGTTGTTCATCTTCAGTAAAAGGTCTAGAGCAGCAAGGACCACCACAAGCTCTCCCCGCTGTGGTGCTCCGACCGAGCGCCTACAAGCTCAAGACCATCGACGGCGGAGTCTTCGTCAATGCCTAGAACATCGAGTAGCTACGTCGCTTTTACCCTTAATAAACGCACACTTTCTCTTATTAGTTTCGCTATCAAACTCCTCGACCTTTAGTGACACCCGACCCCAGCAACGGCGGGGGGTCAGGCCTCACTCGAGGGCTAATAAGAGCGTACCTATCTGGTAGACATTCTCTACACCCGACCCTCTCTCACGTTAAGGCCCAGAAGCGAGGTTTGCGGAAAAGAACGCTGAGTAAAACTGGTCGGACTGCGAGAGACCTACGCCTCGGCGGCCACGGTGCCTTTGCTCACCAGCGTGATCAGAGTTTTTTTGACACCCCGGGGTTTTTTGGCCTTAGTCATGAAAAGTGCCAGTGCGCGTCTAAGAGTTTATCCACCTAGCCAACTTTCTCTGTGCCGACCCCCTATCACGTTAAGACCTAGGAGCTAGGGTTGTGGAAACAAGCTCTGAGTATAACTTGTCGAACTACGAGAAACCTACGCCCCAGCAGCTACGACGCCTTTGCTCACGAGCGTGATCAGAATTTGCTCACCTGCACCCCGAGCTTTACGACCTTAAGGACGAAAAGGGTTGGAATGCACTAACCTTTTTATACAAAAAGGGGAGAAGGGCTAAAAAGTTGTTTGGCTATAACGAAATTTAAGAGCTTGTTCATTTATTACAAGTTCGCCACCTGGCTTATCTGCCTAACTAAATTCTTGTGTGGGATGTTCTCATCTCCTATCTCCATAGGTAAGTCCTATCCCAGTGGGGCAATACAAGTCGACCGGACAGCTTAGCCGCTACCGAGGGACGGGTAGGGAGCAGCAGGATGCCCCACGCGGGTTATGCCGACCCTGTTACGAACAATGGACCCGGATTCCGCTCAAACATATCCGGCAAGAGCTCCCTGAACCTATCACTCATGCCATTGAGGTAAGTCCTATGCCAGCGGGTCACCCAAGTCAATCAAATGATTCAGGCCGCTGCCGAGAGACGGGTCACCCTTACTTTACACGCATTAAATTAGCTATCGAGCCCCCAACCCTAGCAACGACAAGGGGTCGGGTCTCGCTCGGGAGCTGTCAAGAGTGTCTATTCGGTAGACATTCTCGATGCCCGACCCCTTTCTCACGCTAAAACCTAAAGGCAAGGTGTGTGGAAACAAACGCTGGGTCAAATTGGTCAGACTGCAAGAAACCTATGCCCCAGCGGCTACGACATTTTTTGCTCACCAGCATGATCGAAGTTTGTTGCCTGCACTCCAAGCTTTAGCCTCCGCCTTCCCAGGAAAGATTTGGAGGGGCCCACCTATGGAATGTCCATCGAGGATAGGCCAGCAGATCGCCCAAGGTCGACCGAACGGCTTGGGTCGCTATAGAGAGACGGGTAAGGAGCAGTGGGATAACCCATGCAGGTTACGCCAACTCCAACATGAACGATGGACCCAGACCCCACACAGACACATCCAGAAAGAGCTCCTCGAACCCGTCACTCGAGCCATCGAGGTAACTTTATCGACCCTCACTTTTCTTTTCCATTGCATGATCATTCATTCATCCATTCTCATGCATGCATTCATACATTCATTCATCCATTCAT